CCCCAAAACCCCAAAACCCCAAAACCCCAAAACCCCAAAACCCCGATTTTTGAGGATAAAGTTGAATTATGACAAATTGTTTTTTAGTTAAATGGTGCCAGTGATGGAGATAATTCAGGAAAATTGAGATCTGAGGGAAAATCTGAGATATTTGTTAGATATCTGTTCTGGGGAGATGGTATAATTGAATTTTGATAAAAACTCAGCAACTATTAACTTGAGTTCAAGCATTGCGAGGTTCTTTCCAGGACATCTCCTTAGATTTGTTGAGAACGGATTATAACTGTATCTACTTCTTTGTTTTGTACCATTACTACTTGGTGTTGTGAAATAATGACTATCTGGATCGAATCTCTCTGGAATAAATTCCATTGGATTTATCCACTCATTTGAGTTATAATGAAGTGCATGCAAACATTGAAAAATTGTAGCTCCTTTTGGAATTGTAACCCCACAGATGGAGATCTCATCCAAGCTTTTGTAGCCAAGAGAAAAGAAAGCAGGATTACTGTGTCTCAGTGATTCCTTTATTGTCATATCAAGATATTCACAAGAGTCTAACATTTTTCTTTTTGCATCGATCGATTTTTCATTTCTATCGTAATTGCTCTTCACCTCCTTCATAACCTTGGTAAAGACTCTCTCATTGGCCTTGATATTAAAAAGGATGCTTGCTAAGGCATGGGAGGTTGGATCATAGCCTGCAATATAGACAGTTATGATGTCCATGAGGACTATCTTCTTATCGTATCATACATTTGTTCTATGCTTGAAGACTGAATCCTGGTCTTCTGAAGACTGACAAATTTTTAGCAGGATTTCCCATAGATTCTCGATGTTTTGCTCTCACGCCTTATTGCTTGTTGTGAGTCCAGCCTTTGACAAATAAGGGCAGAGTCTATTCTTGATTAAAGCAGAAGATTTCTCAAGATCTTCGATTAGCTTAGAGAAATATTCCTCCAGAGTAATGTGAATAGTATCCCCACAAGACGTAATATATGTATATGCGTTTTCGACCGGAATATCTTTTCCAAAAAGTATTTTTGTGGTCACTGAAAACATAACCTTCTTCATCTGATTGGTTATATTAAACCATTGGTTTTCCCTCCATGTAGCTGAAATTTCATGAAAAGAGTCAAGGATCAAGGGAATGAACTTTGTTGAGAAGTTAATTCCGATAACCTTCATAATTTTATCTCTTCTCGATTTCCACATTGGACTGCTTTTGATTTGGTCAATAGCTCCTTTATTCATTCTCCCAAAGTGTTTGAGATGGTTAGAATGCCTGTCAATTCTGGTGGGAACTAACTTAAAAAACTCTTTTCATGCCTGAGCTGAGTAAATGAGGAACAGAGGCTTTGTTCCTGAGAACACTATTCTAATATCTCAATCTGGCTTTTTCATAGCAACTTCCATCAAGTGCCAAAATCTGTACTTTTGTTTTCCTTGGGCTTTAATAACTGCTCTCTCACCTTGAATCGGAGAGAAGCTTGGGCTCATGTAAACATTGGAATATTTAGAATATTTCCACCTTATTATAAAAGCAGCTATCCAGTTTTTGAATACAATACAAACTCCAAAGATCAGGGTTAAGCTCAATAAAACTTCCATTCTACTAACTAAATCACAGTCTATTATTAAATTAACTTCCAAAACGCAATTTTTAAATCCCAATTTGGGGTTTTGGGGTTTTGGGGTTTTGGGG